GCTTGATTTGCCATGGGTGATGGAGCAGCAAACCCCATTTTTGTTTATTCTTTATAATTTTACTAAATTATCTCGTTGTCCTAGGCTACTAGCTGCAAATATAAAGTGTAATATACCTCCAGTGTCCCTTTCCCCAGCTTTTCATGAAGGGCAAAAGGAGTTTCTCTCATTGTTCCTAACAATAGCATCTATGATAGAAATTCTCAAGTTGTTGCATGGATGGCCTCCAGCTTCATTTACTCTTTTATCCCCACCTGAGCCTGACATTGCAGATATCCTGCCTTTCCAGTGCAGCTGAACGAAAAATAATCTCGGTGCATTAGGGGCAGAGCCAAGAAATAAAACTTGGAGGAGCAGGAGAGGGAGGGAAGGGTGGATAAATGCAGAGAAACAGGAAAAGGGAGAGAATAGACAGTAAGCAAGAGCCACCTACATCCAGCTGCTGTGTTTCTTCCTGATAAGCACCTAAAGCAGTGCAGAACTGTGGGGGCAGCAGCTCTGTGCCCCTAAGCAGTTGCAGCTGAAATAGCCAAGTGTTTTTGCCCACATCTTGTGCTTCATTTTTTGGCTCTGGTGTGATCCAGCTGCTACTTTCTCTTCCAGCACAGGTTGTGGCAACAGGGAAGCTTCCCCCTCTCTGTGTGTTTCCAAATGGTGGCTCTGCCACTCCCTTTTGAGTTTTCGCTCCACTGCAGTTGTTATTCTTGCTGTGGTCATGTTCTTGGGCAGCAGGTGGATTTCATGCCTATGCTTCAGAATGGCCTGAAAGTACACACCTCTTCTTCTGGGGTGTGCTGACCAGCAGAAGGAAAGGTCAAACTGCTTTTAATTATTATTGTCTAATAATTTAAAATATTAGATTGTTTTTTTAATTAGGGATCCCCCTTTTGAATGGGTTTTAGCACAGAAGCCTTGATTGCCAACCCAAAGGGTCTTGGAAGTGTCCCTCCTGGTCAGTGAACTTCTAAGTCAGTACATATAAAATGCAGCTACTTATTAATGTTTATGCCTCATGGAATCAAAGAGGGAGAGAAATATTTTCTAAACAAAAGAGAGATTGTATATTATATAGTTGTATGTTGCCAGAATGCTACATGAAAGTGTTCTGGATGCAGTTATTCTCTTATATCAGCAGAATTTGATGAATCCCAGTTTTCATTAGCTATCTTGACTGAGGATGGATTATTGCACATTTTCTGTAAGCAGCTTAATTTTTATTGTTATACGACATTCCTTGCTTAGCATAAAAAATGAAAAACTGAATGGCATTTTCAAAAGCTGAGAACCCTCATCAGTAACTGTGGGGGAGTATTTTCAATCCTAACATGACAAAGATGCCATATACATGAAATCATCTGTAAATTTCTGGAATTTTTTTCCATAAAACAAACTTCCTTCCAACCAGTAGCTTCAAGAGCCACTATACTGCATGAAGTAAGAAAAATCCTAAAGGCACAGTGATCAGAGAGACAAAAAATATGTGACTTCTTTATTAATATAATGAGCCATTTATAAAAAGCAAAACATCAACAGCTTGCTGTTCAGCAAAAGGAGGCCTAACATAACCTTTGTGGTATTGATTTGCTGTTCTGGATTAGCCTAGAAGGGAAAATAATTCCTGTTAAAGTGCTAAAAGAAAATGTCCTTGTCTTCAGAAGTTGATCTAAGATTACAGATGTCCCAGAAGTTTTCCAACTTGTAGCTGACCATGTAAGAAATAATTTACTTTATGTGAAGTGTAATTACTAGCTAAGAAAACCATATGTAGATAACCTTATCTGTTGGAAGTGTTTCAGATGTGACCAAATACATCAGAATAAGAAATGACTAATTTTGGCTTTTATTTTTCTGCTTGTGGGATGCAAATGGCCAGGTCACAGTTTAATTAAATCTTGCTAGAAGCATCTGATGGAGATCGTGAACGATTTTAATTGCCCTATTGTCTAAAGACAATGCAGGGGAAGTGTCACTCTGTGCATTATCTGGAGATATCCCCTAGCTGTTGCTCTCAGAAACTGCAGGCTGAGCAGATGGATCTTTGATCTGGCCTTGCATAATTGTTCTTTTACTCTTGTATGGCTGTGAGCACAGTTTATTTTACAGTGGTTAGATAAACTAACATTTCTGATTCAAAAACTCATGCATAACATCTTCCTGTTTTGTCTGCAGGAAGTCTGCAAGGGGCACAGAAAGTTGCATATAGTGAATTTTACTAGTAAAATTAAATAAAGAGATTAATCTTGCTTTAATTTTCCTTTCTTCAGTGAGAAAGAAAGAGGAAGAATTACAATTTAAGGAAGCTTAAGCTGTGGGATACCTTTTCACATTCTGTTTCTAAGCATTCTGGAAAAAAGACCCCAACCCAAACCGGTTTGGATGGATGTGACAGTTTAAGCTTGTCTTAGAATTATAATCCTCATGCCAAGTGAGCTGGATCCATGGATTTTCCCACTCAAAGAAAATCCATTTTCAGATGAGATAAATTTTTTCACTTTTATTTGCAGGGAGTGTCTGTGAAGCTATTAAATAAGGTGTCCAATAGCAACTTGTCACCAGGGAGAAAAGATGAATAAGAAATATGTTTGTCTTTAAAATATTTCAGTTCTTAGAATAGCAGAATATAGAGATTCCACCTTTTAATGAGCAATCCCTTAAACCGGTGTTGATTTTACTGGTGTTAGTAGAGCTTTGTTTGGCATTAAAAAAATCTATTTGCACATATCTCTTTCCAAGGAATCTGTTTTAAAGCTGATTGTTTTGTTAGAAAAGAGAGGGGAAAGAGTTGTTGGTGGCTTATGGACCAGACCTGCTGTTCAGATAACATCAAATTCACAAAATCTAATTTGAACAGATGTTGTGTGGCTAGGAGTGTGAAGAAATGCTGTCAATTATTCCTTTTCCCATGATTCTCTTAGTCCCATTAAGACATGTGGAGCATGTGGACTATGTCACTCTGCTGTCTGTAACCTTAAAAATGAAGGTGTTCTGAAATTCCCAGGCTGCAATTCCCAGCTGAAGGAGGTCCAGGCATCAGGTAGAAGTGTCCTTGGAGGCCAAATATTGCAAGCAGTGTGTCAGGAATCACAATCCTAATCTGGGCTCCTTTGCTGCCACACACAGCCTCTTAGGCACTCGAATTCACACACGCTGTCAGTGTGGTGGAGATAAACAACAACAACATCAACCAAATTCTAGTCTGACATTTGAAAAACACCTTTTCTTTCTGGTTGTTCAGTGCAAATGAAAGGAAGGCAGTGTGCTCCTACTGCATTTGCCTTGGTCAGTGACTTGTGTATATGAGAATGTAGTTTAGGCATTTGCTTTGCTTATTTTGACTGAGTTCAAGCCTGGTTTTGGTTCTGTATCTGGACCTGTGGTGTTGGCCCAGATCCACTAGTGAGCTTGAGAGTAGTTCTGCTGAGCATTGCTGCACTTAAATTTTAGGGAGTTAAATTCCAGGAGTAGAATTTGAAACAACTTCATGTGGGTGCTCAAAATGCCTGCACAGTGCACAATGGGTGTCCATGCCTTGAAGGACAAATGGGGGACAACTCCAGACAGCAGGAGCAGGCCAGGCAGGAAAGTCCAACTATGCCTTCTGTGACTGCAGAAAACATGGCCCAGGTGTATTCTGGACTCATGGATTTATTTTTAGGGAGTCCCAGGCTGTGTTACCTCAACAGCATCTCAGGCAGCTGGTCTATGGATTCCAGTGCCGGGGAATCTTGGGTTTTGTTCCTAAAGCCCAGGAGATCAGTATCTCCTGCTGTGTGGTGGACCACAAGTCACCTCCAGGCTGTGAGCAGAGTCTCTCCTCAGGGAAATGCCTTTGGCTACCGTGTAATTCTCCTGGCTACCCACTCAGGGAATAATTCAGCTCCTCAAAGCAGCAGCACTTCAGGAGAGGAGCACTTGTGGCCAAGTCCTTCTCTAGGGAGATGGCTGTGAACATGGTTGGGGATCACAGGCAGTTCAGAGACTGCAAGAGGTGTGGTCTCCACCCCTTCTGAAGGCTTGTTTTTAACAGGGAAAACCCTGTAGCTGCTGTGCAGTTGTGTTTTAGGGTCTCAGCAAATTGTAGCCCTGGAGGAGTGGGTTTGTAGAACAAAACTGTTGGTGCAGAGGAGCCAGCAGTCAGACAGGTGGAGGGGACAGAGTCCAGGACATCCCTCTGGCTGCCCTGCATGTCTCAAGACCCTGGCATAAAGTCAAAAACATCTGTGGCTTCGACTTTAGCCTGTGGAAAAGGCTGCTGGCTTTGTGTGAGGAATTACAAGCCACAGAGCTTTGAGTAATGTGATAGTTAACACAGGGTGAAAAAGTAGAATTTTGGTGTTTTTAGAATGTAGTTCAGGGGGTCAAGATGGAGGGATTTGGGTGTGTTCTGGCCTTCTCCTCCTTCTTGTCCTCTATGTCTTGGTGTGATGGTGACACTTTTCTATTGGTTTAAGTTAGAGACACACTGTCCAATTTAAGTGATAGATATTGGCACATAATTGTAAACTCAGAGACTGAGATTGGGGACAGAATGCCATGGCTTCCTTGCTAGACAGAACTCAGCAGGTCAGAGAAAGAATGTTACAGATAAGGAAGAATAAACAACCTTCAGAAGCTGATCCTACACATTTCAGACTCCTTTGGCTGCACAGGCTAGGAAACGAGGACTTTTACAATCTTGGGGTCATCCCAACACCCAGACCCTGAGAGAGGGGTGTCCCCCTGGACTGGCACCAGTTCTGGGCTGTGTGCAGAGAGCCCATTAGCACTGGGGGGCACCAGATGCACACCTTGTTCTCATCCTTTGGGACAGTCGCCTGGAGGCCACTGTGTGTGTGCTGTGACATTCCTTGTCTGGATTGAAACACCAGTGCAGGCATGGCCAGCAGCCAAGAGTGCTCATGAGACAGCATTCCCTAGGCAGGAGGTAAAATAGCTGCAACACTCCACAGAGCATGAAAACGATTGTGGTATCCCACTCCTTGAGCATTTAAACTGCATACCTGGAATTGCCTGGCAAAAGTGGCATCTTCAGTGCTTCTCTGAGATGTAGTCCTTGCTTTAGCTGGGCTTTGGTTCACTTGTCTATTGTGCTATTCTCTTGTTCTTATCTCCAGGATCCCAGGGGCAATCTAAGAAGGATATTATATAGAAAAAATAATTTTTATTTGTTAACCATCCTCCCACTTAGAAAAAGACCAGGGTTAGAGTTACACTTTTCTAAACGTTCAGTACAGGAGATGAGCCTCCTTCCAGCAAGAAAATATGAACGGCTGGGGAAACCAAACAGTTTTCAACTGTGCAGTTTCTGCTGTGGCAGATTGCCAGTCAGTGATGACATGGGGTTGGCATGGTACTTCTGACTCTGGCCTTTTCCCAGACCTGAATGTATGTTGGGAATCCTGGGATTTTTTTTGCTGCAAACTGAAACAGTTAGAAAGGCATACCCTGCTTCACTCCAGCAGCTCAAAAAACAACGACTGCCAACATTTCTTTCATCACCAATTCTCTCTTCTGCAAGTCAAACCAAGGGTTTAAATCTAATTCAAATACAGCTAAAACAGAAAGAAAAATTCAGGAAAGCAGGAAACCAGGAACTCAGCTTTCTTGTTACTGCAAAGGACATTGAAAGGAAATGCTGTGTGCTGTACTGATAACGAGGAGGAATCCCTCTATCCCCTCACACCCATCTATTTTGTAGTGCATCTCCCTTGCACTCACCTGCACAAGAGGGATTTAAACTCTATGACTTTACCCAGCCAAACCCTTCCCCCGTCTGCTCTCCAAGGCTTTCTTCACCCAGACAGACACGAAACCTCCAGTACTGTGCTGATTAGGATGTGTTACTATTGCTTCCTACCCCTCTGAAGTCATGTATGCACCAGTCTGTCCATCACACGTTAAAAAAGCCTAGCTAAGTCAGAGCTGTAGGGCACTTCTAAAGCAGTGAATGAAAATAAAATACAAGGGTTGATGAAAACATAACAGAATAACTTAATACTTTTTTCAAAATTTGAGTTATCATTTGCTTAATGTAGACCAGATTACAATTAGTTTACAATTTAAGCAATTGCCTTGTTTAAGCATTTTAAGTTGGCCCTCCTTAATTTCCCCTCAGCTGCGCCTAAGTCAGAATCCAGGAGGTAATTGCATCACTCATATGAGAAAGATGTAACTGCAGATACTTTATCCCATGGACACATGTGCTTGTCCTCCCCTTGTGTCCATTTTGGCTGTAATTGTTAAAAATACCTGTCACAAGGGCTGTGTGTTTTGCTGGGGTGGATTCTCAGAAGCTGGTATGTGAACTGTTCTGCGGATTACTACTCATGAGCTTCTGCTAAACTCAGCTGGTCTGCACTCTGAGCAAATAAATCCTTTTATTTGGCAGACTGTAAAAAACACAGAAAGAGAGAGGGAAATAGAGGCCATCAGACTGTTCCTGAACAGGAACATTCAGAACAGTAACAAAAAATGTTGCTGCTGCATTGCACAATTATTAGAATTGCTCCCCATCAAAGGTCAAAAGCATTAACCACGTTGGCAATATTTATAAATAGACCCTTTATGGAGTTTTACCTGAAGTGGGATGGAGAAACACTTTGACTCAGGAAGACCAATTAGAACAAGTAGGATCTTTTAATTTAATGGCTGCATTAGGCAAGATTGAATGAATGTTGGTACAGACACAGACATAGAACACACATAGACAATTTCACTACTTATGGAGTCTGAAATGAAATGCAATTTCAGCTTGACCACAGAAGGCCAAAGAACGAGTGGTCCTGGTGTGGCCGTGTAAGAGAATAAAAGCAGGGAAAGTTCTAGCCCCAACAGGGCCCTGTGACAAGCATTGCAACTCTTGCCATTAAGGTCTGGAGGGATGTTTTCTGTATCCACAGGGATAAAGTGGCCCAAAAAGTGACAGGAAGCTTAGACCTGCTGCACAAATGGCAACCAGTGGGGTCCAGGCTGCGTTCTCCCAGAAATTTAGGATGCAGGTGTTTCTAGCACACCATTTGCAGTGTTTGCCATTGCATTCTGGTTAAAGATGTTCATCAAGTACCCAAAAGCCAGGAAACATTAAAAGTAAGTGTGATTTGGGCATTTTAATCTGTTCCACTTAGTCCCTGCCTAGCATGCGGGAATGATAAACATTTATGCAATCTTTTTCACAAGCCCATAGGCTGATCTAGGTTTGGACTGGGTATTGCCTAGTGGGAAAAGGCTAACAGGTCCAAACTGATTACTAGGATTAATTACTTCTGAATCCACTTTTTGCAAGTCTCTTTGACTGCCCAGACTGGTTTATTGCGCTGGGAGCAAGGAGCCAGCTTTTTCAGGAAATAGAATGCTGGTATCTCATTATTCAGAGTAGGCAGAAGGCAAACAGCTCTGTTCTGTGCTAAGAAGAACCTTCCCTGTCTTTCTAGGATGCCAGGTAGAAGACAAAACCAGCTCTGTCTCTGTAGGAGCATCTTAACTTCAGTTTCAGTTTTTCCATTGTGGCAAATAAAAGTAATATAGCTTCATGGTTCTTGTTCTCAGTCTCCTCCTTAAGGTTTTTTTGGTGAGAAACTTGTGATGAAAACGCACAATCATTACTAGTTCTGCATTCTCCCCACTGCAATTAAATGCTAGATGGTAGGAGGAAGCTACTAAGAGAGTCATATTTGGAGGCATTGAAGATTTTTGTTAGTGAGAATGAGAAATTTGCTATAAATGCAAAGGTAAATTTACAAGCATGTGAAAAATTTCAGGTAAATTTAATTTTTTCCTCTTAGTTCTTTTAATTCCAGTAACATGGGTCAGGTCAGTAAAAATGAAAAGAAATTAAGAGATGATTGTTGAATGCAGGCTTTACCTTGATGGCAGAAGTTGATTTAGCTTCATTTGGTTAAGCACCTCTTGTAGACAAGCAATTGCTTCCAATGAAGTACAGTCTTCCATATGCTAAGTGGTCTTCAGAGCTGGTGATGAGTTTGTTAAAAGCAACTTGAAACTTCAATATCTACTTTCGCTCAGAATGGCTTTTCTCTATTTTTTCTTTGTGTCGTATTTGAATTCATCAATCACTTAGATGGGTGGTGTTTTTGCTATTCAGAGTGTTTTCTTGTTTTTCACTATCCTCCCTTTCTAGCCACTTTTCCCTGCTTTCATTTACTTTCTTTCAACTCCTTCTTACCTAGAGGGACTAATAATGTTTTTTAGTATGATTAAAACTGCCACAGAATTATGGTATGTTGCTTTTCTTACATTTATATAGAAGAGTAAGTTTCCCTTCTCTTGCCCTTCCTCTCACCTTTGAAGGTTCCTGATCCTCTGAAGTGGTGCCACACTCTTGTTGCCAAATCATCTTTATTCATCCATCTGTTTTGATACAATTGCAGAATTAAAACAGACAGGACATAATTGATTGTCCCAATTTATTTTTCAGCTGTAGGTTATAGGCAGATTTTAAAAGTAGATAGCGGAGTACAGCCTAGAGCCAGTGTTTGTGAACATGTAAGCCATTTTAAGAAGGATAATCAGTTCTAAGAATTTCACTTTTAATTACATTTTAGCCTAAGCTTTTGAAACTAATCATTTTGGCCGCCTGACTTGAGAAAATGGAGAGAACTGTGAATTTCTAGAAAATGTAAAGCACCCCTGTTCTGAAAAGGGGGCTTATTTGCTTGTTTCTTAGGACAGGTGTTTCAGAATTTGAACTGCAATTTGGGCCACCTGTCCATTTTGAAAACACAGCTCCCGCCACAGCATCCTGCAGTTGCCTGTGTTCAGATTTTAAGAGCAACTCACTGAGAGTTACTTGGTTACTTACATAGCTGAGACAAGAGACAGAACATTCGACTCAAACTGATGGGCCCAAATTTGTCTCCTAAACAACTGGGAGAATGAATTAGGAGTGATATAATCTTTTAAATTGCATCTATTATGATATGATAATGCCTCATGCCAGAAGGAGTGCAGAATTCTCATAAAGGCTCTTAATTTAAATTTGCTTTGAGTTGACAAAACACACACAAAACCAACATAGTCGATTTAACTCATTTAACCAATGTCAGCATCTAATTAGAGTATGAGGATAAAATGATGGGGTGTTACAGTTCTGATTCCCATGAAATTTTACTTATCTAAGGGCAAGAACTTATAGCACTTGGAACATAAAATAAGGTACTAAATTTAAAATATAACCCCATGCATATTAGCATAATTAAAATGCCAGATTTTAAAATGCAATTATCAAGTAATAGGAATGCTATGCATCTGTAATGCTAGAATTTCCGTAAAGCACATTAAGGACATGCAACACTCAGCAGATTCCTAACTACTACTTAATTACCCTTGCCACTTACTGCTGCAAAGATGCAGAGTATGGAAAAAAAGATACACATTTGCCTAACCAAAAGAAGGATTAGGAGATTTTCTTTTGTAGTTCGAGTACAGATAGACTTTTAATATCTGCTGTACACCTTGCTCAGTGACCAACTAATGAAATCATCCGTAAATCTAAATTTTAGAACTATCCTTTTAACACTAGTTAGCATCAAGCACTCCCTATTGTATGGATCTCTGTTGCCTATGTACAAAGATCAGCAGTGTAAGAGTTTCAGGGTGCTCCTTAAAAGCTGCTTTGAATTTGTGCTCACCAACCTGTTGCCTTTTAAAAGAAAGACTTTTAGCAGAGTAGTCCTTTTGACAACATCTCCTTTATAATCAATTTTGCAGTTCTTAAGAAGACAATTCAGGTTTTCATAATATTCTAATCCATTTTGTGTAATTATTGTAGGTTTTGAGTTAATTTAGAGGCTGAAGTCCTTCCTCTTAAAGCTGTTAGGAACACTTATATGTTTGAATTTTGAATTAATTTTTTTCTTCTCCGAGTTCTCTAAAAACAATGGGAAATTTGATGGTCTGCTATTACAGGCTTTAAGATTAGAAATAGCTACCTAAGATAAGCACAGATTGAGAAGTCTCTCTGGTCTGAGATACTTATTTCACAGAGTGTGGCTCTGCCACATTGCTCCAAAGGAGGTGGGAGGTGGGAAAGAAGGGTGTCCTGAGAAATTACATTTGCAATTATTTTGTGAAGTGTCTTCCCCCTCTGGTGTCTGGACCTGTGAAGAGCTTGCCTGTGTGTGCTTGCTGTGGTTACCTGGCCAGGATTAGTCTGGATCTCATCCCTTGCACAGGGAACAACCTGGTGTGAGCTTTCAGGGTCCCCAGGGGTGGTAGCTGAGTCTTGTCTTGAGAGAAGCCTTGTGGCGGTCACTGAAAATTTGGTTTCAGATTTTCTGATTCTTTATATGGATGTCTTCGCATCTGTGTTGATTATAAAGTCCTTATGCTGAAAAGATTAAAGATAAATAGGAAAAAAAGGTGAAAAGAAAAATTAAAATAAAAGAAAGAAAATCTTTATAAAGGAACAACACACTAGAAAGAACAATAGAGGAATTTTGCTGAGAAGAAATGGTTTTTTGAAGAAAAGGATGATGGCATCTGGGGAATGGGGTTTGCCACAAAACCTCACTCTCTCTTCACACTTGTTAAATTAGCTGTGTGTCTCCTCTGTACTGCCTCCACTTCGAATACAGACAGGTAAGAGGTTGAGTTTCTCCTTCAGCACCAGCCCAGAGACTCTCTGAGTCATGTTGGCCTCAGCTCCTGGAGCACCCTCTCTGTGCTCAGGGCAGGTATGAGGCATTAATTTCAAGACACAGGCGGCTTCTGCCTCAGTGCTGGATTGCATTTCTCACAAATCCTGCACAGGTGGTGAAAAACTTATGCAGGTCCAAAAAATAGCACCCATATTAAAGACTCAGAGCCTGCACCAAATTTGCCATTTTTAGTTCAGGCATTGGGAACTGGCACAAAGAATGAGAATGGAAGAAAGAAATTCATCAAAGAGTTGTTGGTCAGGAGTTCATTAAATTTCCCCTTGCATTCACTGGACTGATGAATGCAATTAACAGCTGCTTCACTAAAAAAAGAGTTTTCACTCAGTTATTTCCTTCATCTCAGACTTGGGCTCATTTGATAATTATTTTTACATGCTGACTTTCACATCATTGACTGTTCTTCCCAACCTTTCACTGTAGTGACAAAGGAATTATTGCAAAGTTGAGCTGTTGATTTTTACTCTTTCCTTGCTAGTGCTTACTTTTTTTGTGAGTGCAGTAATTCCCCTTGCCACGCTGAGATGTGTTCTACATCTTTCCCAGGACAATGGATGTGTCTGATCAAATCCATCAGGCAGGTAAGCCAGATGAAACACCTACTGCTGTTCAGAAAATAGATTCTGCATTGATTTAACTACTAGAAAAGCAAATCTCCATTATTTCAAAGAGCACTAAGATTGCCCTCAATGCTCATTTCCTATCAGTGTGGGACAGATAAATCACTGAAGTGGAAGTCAGAAATCTATCAAATGGCTCATTGACTTGGGCCAATTTAAAATGTTTTTCCTTGTGTTTCTTGACTGTGTGTCTACATCTGTACTGTAATAACTCTGTGGAGGAGAAACCATTTCTGTACTTGTTTGTGCAAGCTCTGTTTTGCTTGGAGTCTCCAGGTAACTTAAAATATGCCTCATTTAAACAAAGCTATGAACCATTGCATCTCCCACCCATTTCCTTCCAATTCCACAGGAGTAAATAGCTTTACCTGAGAGCAAATGCAGTTTTGTGGTTTGGATTAAAATGATGTGCACTTCCAGTTGTTGTATCCTGTGGCCTCAGGCTGTGCTTCCTTGGGGGCTACTGCTTTAAGTCTTCTAAAACAAAAAAATGCTTCAGTTCAGCCCATGGGCTCAAAATGGACAAATGTGAATGTGAATTATTCCAGTCAAAATAAGCTGCCCAACTGTGGTGATATTAAGGTGGGCAAATAGCTGGTATGTGGATAAAATTGATGGAGTAATATTGGAATGCTGGAGTAATTGGAGTAATACTGGAGTGATTGGAGTAATTGAAATGCTGAGAATTCAGTTTAGTAGTAACCAGGGTGAGGAAAGCCTGAGATGTTTAATCCATCATTCCATCTTTGTGTCCAGGGAGCAGTGCCAGAGGACAGTGAGATCTCACATCAAAAACACAGCACAACTGGGGACAGCATCCTTCTCTTGAACCATGATGTCCTTACTGCTCTGGGTAGCCAAGATGAACCCACATGCCACCAACACCTCCATTGGCTTCAGAAAAACTCCAGTCAATGCCAAACTATGAGAGCTGAGGTCCTAATCTTGCTTTCCATCCCCAACCCCCATATTCCCTCCCCCACCCCCCCTTTTTCCCAATGTATAATGCATTTCTTCAATTCTCTCTCTCTCCTTTTCCTTTTTCCCAAGTCCTGGGCCCTGGTAGCAAGGATTGTTTTGTACCACGTCAGAGAGCCTGTGATCACAAAAGCTGCTGGAGCAGAGTTTTAAACAGTCTGATTTGTGGGGCTTTGTCAGATCTAATCACAAAAGGTGAGACCTGGTGCTGGGAACTTGCCACTCTCTGTTAGCAAGTGAGAGACAGCCTCAGAAACAGCAGCTGCATTTTTTTAATCTCCATGGTTCTTTTTATTTTCTGCCCCTTTTTTGAGCTTGTTTTGTCTTTGAGGAAAGATGATCAAGCTGCACCAGAAACAGCAGTGACAACAACGCATCCAGCTCACTTCAGCATCTGTTTTTCTTTGCCATCAAAAGGCCCATTAGTTATTTTCCTTGTTAGCACCCTCTGATAGATTTGCCAAACAGCATCCTTTGAGTGTTAAAACTCTGGTGACAAAATAGGAAGGGAAAAACAGAAGCTGAAAAAAAATTATTTAATTCTCTACTTCCCATGTGCTTCCCTTTCATTACATTGTGAGTTTAATGTGCGTGTCAGGAGAAATTTGCACAGAATAATAAATAAATAAATACTTCTAATGTTCCTGGTTCTGAGTGTTAAGGTTGATTATGGAGCTGGGCAGAATTTGTTTCATGTCTTTGCAGCACATATTTGAAAATGTCACTCTTGCTGGTGATTAGAGTAAGAAATGATAAAGTTTTGTGGATGCCTCAGAGACAGAGGCTTCCTTGGAGATTTGGGGGAATAGCTGAACTGTCAATATATTTGTCAGAAAAATCCACAAACACCAGAGATTTATGTCCAAAAATGAGACAGAGGAGTCCTAAAACTTTAGTTGAATAAAAAAGACTCAAATGACCTCAAGTAACCCCTGTGACATGAAGTAACCCCATCAAGGCTTGAAATGACCTCAGGTAACCCCTGGATCAATTAAAAGAGACTCCAATGTCCTCAGGTAGGCTCTCTGACCTCAAGTAACCCTGATCAACCCTGATCATAGCCAGAAATGACCTCAAATAACCCCTGTGACCTCAAGTAACAGAAGAACCCATCACTTATGTTGGACAGCGAGTCTCTACCTTAAACCAATAGAGAAGTGTCACCATCACACCAAGACATGGAGGACAAGAAGAAGGAGAAGGCCAGGACACGCCCAAATCCCTCCATCTGCTACCCCTGAACTACATTCTAAGAACCCCAAAATTCTACTTTTTCACCCTGTGTTAACTCAACTATCACATTACTCAAACCCTTGTGGCTTATAATTCCTCACACAAAATTGACAGTTTTTTCCACAGATGTTTTTGACTTCATGCCAGAGGGATGTTCTGGACTCCGACAATTCACTAACAGTGCTTGAATGAAATGCACGTGCTCATCTTTCCCTCTTCTCAAAAGAACACCTGAACAATTGTTCCCCCTTTAGAATAAAATTCAAATCAGACAGAGAAGTTCCTGTGCCTACCAGGAAACACTTCTTGGTCCAGCAAGGGCTGCAGCGTGGTGAGCTCAGGTACAATAGCAGATCCTCATACCCTTAATCCATTTCTAATGTTCTTTTTTGCAAATGGTACAATGACTCCTTCCCAGTCACTGCCCTGGTGCTCACCCCCTTCCCGTTTGTGTAGGGCTCCCTGCACTTTTTCCTGTTGGGAGTTGTGAAAACTGTGCCGTTATCCTTGTCTGAACCTTTGCCTTTTCCTCATCCATTCTTTCATATCTTTTCATATTCCTGAGACGCCTTTCTAACCAATTCCTGGAAGAGATTCCACTCTGCCACCTCTCCAGCCCCTACTCCTGTGAGCTCTCACAGCTGTTCACTGTAGAGAAACCCCCTTAAGTCCTGAGCAGCAAGCAGACAAACCCAAATCCACCCTGACTCCATGATGGCTGGGGGTGTAGGGACAGTGCCTCCCTGTTTTCCTTCTCCTGGAAGCCAGGAATACAGACTTACAGCCAGCCCTGTGTTAGACTGCAGGGTTTGAAGATAAGGCAGGGAAGTTCTCAGTGCTCACTGTTCTCTCCTTATCACAAAGCCTCCTGCTGCTATTTGCCTTAGCAATATTTCTCCACATGCCCCTTTCACCAATCCTTTCCCAAACTAACACCATATTGTCCCCTCTGGACATCCACATCCTCATCTTCCTCTGGGAGAATGTGCAAACCATCTCAGCACTCTCCCAAAGCACCCATCAGAGGTTATTTTGGGATTGTCATCTCTATAGCCAAAACTCTCTTTCAATTTTCCTTTGTTGCCCTCCCTGAGCATCCTGCTGTGTTTGACTCCCCGAAGCTGCACTCACCAGTGAGATTTGCTGAGATCCTTCCTGACTTTCCCTTAGTGCCCCCTCTGGGCATCCAGAGTCTGGTGGATTCTTCAGGGACTCCCCTGGTCCTCCTCTCATCTGTCTCCAGGAAGCTCGAGGAAGTGCGGAAAAAGACAAGGAAATCTTTTGAGGGCTAGAAATTTTTTTCTTTGTTTAGTTTCTGAAGAAAAGCCTGCTGCATTGTGATGTGATTGTGGTTCTGACAGCATGTAAGAACTGGAATTGGGAGCTAGAGAATGCCCAGGTAAAAACTCACCACTGCAAGCAGAGTAAGAGAAATTCCATCCATCCTGGCTGTTTTGGGGGTTATGGATTCAATGCAACTCCTAAGGGCAAAACCCCACAGAGTATAGACATAAAAGCTAAAAAATATCACTGAAGATAAATATCATTAGGCATCACGCAGATCAAAATGTTGTGTGGTCATGGTCCAGAGGCACAATTATCCATTAACATCAAGTCCACCACCTTGAAAATTACCTTTTCAATTTTTCTCTTTGAAAGAACTATGTTAAAGGAATATATAAATTCCAGGTGGCAACCAGGGCTTCTAATGGAATAATCTAAAAGTTTTAATTTTTGAAGTGATGATGAAAACCTTTCAGACACCACACATTAACTTTAAACAGTGAATAAAATTTTTTGAAAGAAATTTGTTTTGAGTCTGAAGAAAAAAAATATTTTTTGCCTTTTATTTTTTTTTGTGTGTGGGTATGTGTGTGTTGTGTCACTGCTGGAAATTATGACTATTGAGTGACATCTAGTGGATGTGAAGATGCTGAACACCAGCTTTTCAAAGGTATAAAACCTTCTGAAATACATCAGAGTTGAAGTGCCTGCAAAGAGACCATGTAATTAAAATGTTGTGCATTGTAGCAAGATGTAGGCAACAAGCCAGAGAGACAGATTCCTACTCTTCAAGGAAACAAAAACTTAACAAACCAAAAAAGTGTCAGATTTCTCTTTTTTACATTCCTCCAATTCTGATGAAGAAAAAAAAATCCCTATTATTCTGCCTGCTCATTGTCCTACTTTGAGTTGTACTTTATAAAATCTCTATACAGAGACCATTTACCAGCACACTCCCAGAAAACCACACTCTGACACACAGTAGCCCTGGTTTGATAGCCAGTGCTTGCTGATATGTTTTGGATGGATATTTTTCCTTTTTCATTTCTGTTTCATATTTCACAATTGAACGTGTACTTATCCTTGAGGCTTACTAGCCACAATAAATCCAGAGTTGCTTTACAGTGAGTCAATGACAGAAAATTTGTAGTTTTTCATGAGAGATTATTGAAGAAGAATACCTGAAATGCTTGCCTGCCTTAACTCTCTTTTTGGGAAAATGTATTTCTGAGAAGACCACATGTCAGAAACTGAGATACAGCAACTTCAATTTTTGGAGCTGAAGGGAGAAAAAGTCAACAGAAAGCTTTTATATTCCAAGGGCATGATTCATCAGGTGTCTTACAGTACACTCAAATTTAAGCGTGTAAGTGTGAACTCTGGATTTTTCACCGCGGCCACAGAACCTTCACAGGGCTCTGTAGGAACTATTCAGCTCCGCTTATTAACTTTGTTTTCCAAGTTCATAAATGCAAATTCTTGTCCTTTTTTTTTTCTTTCCATTTTTATCAGACACAATCTAAACAAGTCCCTGGATACACTGATAGCCTATTGATAAGCTAAATCCAGAAGTCTGCCCAAAGCAGAGCCAGAAGGGCTCAGCCTTGCAGCAGGTGGTTTGCAAAGCTGCAGCCACCTGGTAGGAACATTTCAAAAGGCTGCTCACAATTCCCAGCACTGAGCATGTCAGAGTGCACCTCTGCTTCATCCATAATGGCCTGCCAGGGCGGGGAAATCAATACCACACACCCCTAACAAGTGGAGAGTGAACTCAAGGCCACAAGGAGGGATTTAGAAGTGGTTCACATTTTAATTCTATTCCTCCTGCTCCTTATCCACCCCTTCTCCAGAAGAACTGCAGTGGTAGTTTATATTTTAAATGGATTTTATTTGATTTACTTTTGTCTTTCCACATAACCTGCACTATATTTGCATACAGGTATATCTTTCCACAACACTTGCTTGTCTTTCTGTGACATCTTATACTTTTGTATAGGCCAGGGCTGTGCTTTTAATTTAGAAGAGATGACATTTTTAAGATTCAAAACTGCTTTCTCTTTCATTGTATATTATGTTCAGTTTGCTAAATAACTAAACTTAGTAATAAAGAATAATTCAAGTTAGAAAAATCCTCTATGATCATCAGGTCTCATCTTTGACCAGTTATCAGCTGGAGCACAGCACCTCCTACCCCTCCTTCTGCACTGACCTGGGTGTCTGCTGGGCTGTTCCTCTCACATGTTCTCATCCTGCTCTTCTCTGGCCACAATTACATCTGAGCAACAACTTTTTCTTCTTATTAACTCTGTTATCACAGAGGCATTCCCACCATTCCTGCTGGGCTGAGCCTTGGCCAGCAGCACGCCCACCCTGGGAGCCACCAGGGACTGGATCTGCTGGACATGGAGGAAGCTTTTGGCAGCTTCTCACAGAAGCCACCCCTGCAGCTCCCCTGCTCCCAAAACCTGCTCCTGCAAAGCCTCCTGGTTGCTCTTGGTGCTGCAGCTGAAATGCTTCTGCAGTCCTTGAATGAAATAAACCTGGGAGAACTAATTGAGCCTTTCAGCTCAGCTACATGATATGTCCCTCTCACATTACTGAGCTTTATTGGCAATTTTCATTCTCTCTCTCTCCCTCCTTTCCCCTTCTTTCCATCCCAACCCTGAGCTCTGGTCGGAGAACTGACAGATATATGTGTTGGAGGTTTGCACAAACAGGAGGGGACTGCTGGGATAAGTTCCTTGAGCTTTATTGCAGCATCAGCCTCATTACATGGTTGAGACAATTGCTCATGTTCTGCCAAAGATTTCTCTGTTACAGATCATTTAAAAAACTTTCTAGCCAATAGCATATTGCTAAAGCTTACAGTCAATTGTTCTAGCTAATCACTAAAAGCACATGTACACCTACTTCACACAATGCTTGCTTGTCTTCTTTCTATTAACAATACACAATACTTCATTATTAAGCTTGAAACCTTCTACTATCTTGCTAAGCATATTTTTCTGCAGTCTTAAGGTCTATCTTAGCCAAGCCTAAAACTCAATCTATTGTTTCATGTCCTTGCTTGCTGTACTATTGTAACTTTCCTACTTTCTGACTTAGCAGCTCTAAGTTCTCTGCTCTTTCTATGAGGCCTGCTTTCACATCCTTCTGAAAGTCTTCTTACCTTTACTATGTTTCCCACAATTCCCCCTCTCAGTACAACTGCAAAGAAACTCTCTTAACTTTGTCATTTATTAACTACTTTGTGTTACATAGCCCTACTATAGTACATATTTTTTTATTTAGCAAAACAGCGTTACAAGTTTTCTACACAAAGGCCCATCAGCAAAATTTAAAGTCTCTCACTACTCAGTGTAGCTCTTTTTGCTTATGGCACTTTTCTTGCTTGCTTTAAGTGTTGCTATTTTACACTCCAGCAATTTTAATGCTATAAAAGATTTGGTCTATTCAAAGGATGTAAGGCAAATTTGGTTGTAGCTACTTATTGGTGCTACGATGCCCGGCCAGTGGGAAGAATGATGTGCAGGACTCCAATGATTTCAGAAGACTAATTTATATTTTATTTTATTATACTGTATTATACTTTATTATATTATTATTGTATCCTTTGTTATTTATTATTATACTTTATTATACTGTATTATACTAAAAATATGTTACACTAACAAGAACTATATAACTTCTAACTAACTAGAAAGCCCATGACTCTCTCCTGAGAGTCCCGACACACACGTGGATCCAGTTGGTCAATGAACCCAAAACGCCCTCACCAGACTCCAATCAAGCAATCACCTTGGCTAAACAATCCCCAGATCACATTCCTCATTCCAGGGAGTAGCAAATGAAATAAGAATTGTTTCTATTCTTTTTTCTCTTCTTCTCTCACAGCTTCTTTCAGGAGAAATCCTGAGAAAGCCAAGTCTCTTTCTGTTCAGAGGACATGTGAATTACCACTGTTACTATTTATTGTTCTGATAAGTCTCGTCTGTTCTAAGGTCTTAATTGAAACCTTTCATTTATGTCTATACTTGCACCTACTTTTTTTTTTTTTAAGATTTTGAGAACGTATATGGAGACATTTCTGCACACCTGGGGATGTGCTTGGAGTTTGCTGAGCCCTTGGGGGCAGGAATGAAGCAGCACTGAGCCTTGCAGAGCTGAGGGCAGCTGTGACCTACAGGGCTGTTGGCTCATGGATTTCAAATCAGAGCTGCTGCTGAATCCAAATCACTGCCTAGCTGCAAGCTGAGTTATTGCACACAAACTCTGCATGAGCAGTGGGATCCTGCAGAGGAATAATAAAAATGCTAATAAAAGTGCTGCTGCCACGAGCCAGGGCAGCTAGGTGCCAACAGCTCCTTTTGAGCTTTACAGCCCGAGAGCATGGAGCTTGGTGTGAGGCACAAAATGCAGCTGAAAGGCAAAGGACACCAGCTTAGGGCTTGAACACACCTTTGTGGGCTGGAACAGATTCACTGCTGGAGAACACGGAGCGTGCAGCACTGCTCAGACCCGCTGTCAGTCTGAACACATCTCCTCATTTCTCTCATCGAGTGTGTGCTACCAAATTAACTGTATTCACTTCCCAGGGACAGTCCAGTTAATGGGTTGAAACTCCAGCCTGAGTGAGATTTGATGGAGGTTTTGGATTTTTTTTGTTGGTTTTTTTGCTGTTGTTGCTATTTTAGTAGCCAGTCTGGACACTAACTGCAGATTTTTTAACATCTTTGTTTATCAAATTGATCTGACCTGGACCTCAAAGTCCAGGAACCACTCCTGAGGTTGTGCACTTTTTCTCCAGCCATGCCTGCTACTGTCCTCAGAAAGGAAAACTGAGAGAAATCATTTTTCATGGCAATTGTATAGAAAGGACATTTTTTGTTATCAGTTTTCTAAGTGTGACATTGTTAACTTTGCAGATAGTTTTGAAGTTTAAAATGGTTGGGCATTTGAATTTATTTACTTATTTTGGGGAATCAATATCTCATCTACTTCAAATACTGTTAGACTCATACTTGTCAAAAATGTTTCCACTCCAAATCTATTTTTTCTCAGCATGCATGCAAAGAATTTCTACTTTCAGCTATTGATGATTCAGAGTAATTTTTGTTTTTTTTTTTTTTACTGCTACTAAGCCTGAAATACTTGTGGTTTTAAGTGTTGTCTCAAATAGCATATATGTATCAGTATCCCGATTATCAATATCTCAGTGTAGATTTGTGAAGGGAAAAAGACTCTGAGTGTTGCAAATTCCAATTTTCAGAACGGAAATAATTGTCATCTGTCTTTTCATTAGGCACAGTTTGGGAAACAGAAATAGTAGAGCTATAAAAGAATTTCCCTAATCTAAGTTTTTTTTTTTTTTTTTTTTTTTTTTTTTTTTTTTGGTCAGAAAATTCTGATCCTATAAGTGAAGCATTGCAGGAGAATTCCCATTCCTGTGCCAGTTCCTGCTATCATTAAAACCAGATGGTCATCAAGATCTTTGTTACCCCTTTTCTGATTTAACAAACCTAACTTTATCTGCAAATGCTTTGTTAAAAGCTACTTTGCTAAAGCTCAGGAATCCCCTGGCATTGCTGGGCTTTGCAGGTATCCAAGCACACACAGAAGAGCCTCACTAAGAAAAATGTTGCCCACCAAAAATGCCATGGGAGCAGCTGATGCAGGGTTTGATTGTTCTGCAGTGCTGCTTTGTTCATCAACATCATCTTGACCCACAAACACAATTCCAACTCAGCTGGAGGAAGGGGCTGCTCTTGGAAGCCTGACTGATCCCTTATTTGGGGGTCACAGAAGTCAAACACCTCCTCCCTTTCACTCTCAGTGACTGGGGGGATTCTAGTTCTGTACAGGATTTGGAGTTCTTGGAGAAGTTTGATACCGAAAGCCAGGCAAAAGCCACACTTAACCAGCACAAAGGAATATTAAAAAATAAAAAGCATTAATATTATTCTTCCTATAAAAGTCAGAAATATTTTTCTTATAAGTCAATAAAAGGTATTTCCTAGTGAATATATTTATGTTTTATGGCACATTTTGTCTTTCAGTGTTTACCAGAGTGAAATTTTCCCATTTAACTAGGTTTTACAACAATATAGTGACCATTTTCATTTAGCAAAGGTACACGTAAAGCAAGACAGGCCTATAAAGCCTGAAAATGAGTCAGAAGTTACTAATGCTTATTTTATTTTGTACAAAATCTTTGGACAATGTTTCTTTCATTTCAATATACTTCATAAGGTCATCATTCAAATACCCCCAAAAAAAGAAATCTAGATATTTTTGTTTGTTCCTAGTAAAGACCCCTTGTTCTCTTTCAAAATTATACTAGAACTGCAGTTCAGGCAGGCTCAGACCCTCAGCTTTCTCAATTATTAATATAAATAGTTTGAAAATCTTTAAAAATGTCTACCACAAGGAAAAAGATAATTAGAAACTTTTGAGTTGAGCTGTACACAATCATCCTGGTCCCAGCTTGTCCCAAGGTCTTGAGCATGTGAATTTACTTACTTGATTTACTTGTGTGGGCAAAGCTGCTCACAAAGAAAGAGAATTTGCACTTCTGGAGCCACAGGTCTTCCCTGCAGAGAGAAATAGAAAAAGGTTGGTAACTTTAGCTATGGCTGTACAAAGTGCAAAAAGCAAAAATGTGTTATTTGCACTCTGATCAATGATAATAAATTATAAGAAGAAAATCAATTGTTTATTTGAATCAGGATTAAGAGCAGCTAGAATTACTTGCAAAAGTGCCATGATCAGGCAAGAAATACCAACAGCATAAGCAGATGAACAAATTAACATGAACTGCTGTAACATCCTTCCTCTTTTCTGATGGGCAGAAAATAAAAGTGCAGGAACAACACAGCAACTAGTTTTTCTGTGTCAAGTCTCTCCAATGTTTAAATTAGGTTCATCAATTAAATTAGACATGTTATTCTATACTAGTTGCTGTTAAAATCGAATACTGTTTACTGCTGGTATCAATATATTATCCGATTCCATTTGCAGCTCCACCAGTGGTCATTAGTTTGCCTTTGGCATAGCCTGCAGGGATTTTACACAAAAGCTATTTGAAACATGTACCTTTGCCCATAAAGTCCAGTCATGAAACCAGTGATTTGAAAGCCTAACACAACTGAATTGCTTTTAAGAATAGTGTCCTGAAAATTTACAAGCTGTCAAGGTCAAATTACAAAGTTGTAATAAATGAATATGAGACTCCACTAGACATTGTTTAGTGGAGGGAGAACACTTGCACATCCAACTCCCATCAGTATGCAGTGCTCTGGCATTCACTGCAGCTTTCTCCAGCTGGTTCCCACTGTGATCTCCAGGAGATTCCATAGGAATTTATTGTAGCTGTACAAGGTGATCATGGGAAAAACCCCATGGCAAATGTCTGGCTGCATTCCCCATCCATATTTTGGCAATTTTCAGAATGGCTGAAAAGGTTAAATTGTTATAAACAAGATTTAAAAGCTAAAATAAACAGTTTTCTTTCTTGGCTGTACTTAGTTTTTCTCACTTTCCCTTTCCTTGTCTTCTTTTTCCTCTTTTGTTCTTTCCCCCCTATCCCTTCTCTTGCCCTGTATTTTTCCTTTATTCTTTTGCCCTTTCCCTTTTGTCTTTTTTAATCTTTTCCCTTTCTTTTCTTTTCTTTCTTTTTTTTTTCTTTTTTTTAAAATTTTGACTCTTTCCCCTTTTTCTTCATTTACTTTTGCCATAGCAAAGGACAAATCCAATTTAGGGGGAGAGGTTGTGGGATCTTTGTCTCTTGCAGCAATGATCATCAAGGAGGAAAAGTTTCCTGCAAGGACTCACACTGTAATTGATGAAGGTTGTTGAGGTATTGGCAAAGACAATCTTTATTTTGGCATTCATTATTTAGTGAAGTTAAACATGTTTTAATGTTAAGCAGAAGGTAAGAGGTTATAAAAAGTTTCTGAGGTTACAAAATATGGGAAAGGCATATAAAAGGCAAGGGAGTCCATCTAGGCAAACCCACATTTAACCATACACAGTTTCTTAGGCCAGACAAAAGACATAGTTAAATAAGCAGCATTTTACTTCATTTTATACTTCAGTTTAGTTTAGCTTCCTGCTTTGCTGAGGTTCTTGTAACAACTTCACCAGCATTGTTTCTCGGCTGCAAGTCCCTGCATATCTATTGGTATGATTTTTTTTTCTCTCATTATTTCCTCAGAGAAAAAGAACTCCTCAGTGTTTATTCAAGTATGTATATTTTTTGAAAGGTCTGGAGTCCATTCTGCATTTATTTTAAAATGAATGTGGTTTTGTGTATTTATGTGAGAGAAGGCAAGGACAAAGAAAATTGTGGGTTGCATAAGTAGCACTAGATGGTGCTGTGAAGAAAAGTATCCAAGCTAAGTCTCAGCACAGCCTAACCGGGGTGCTGAAATTTGGATAGGCACCTTTGTTAGCTGAACAAAGCAGGGATACATCGCTGTTAGGATTGCACTCAATTGTTCCCCTTAGGATTAGAAAGTGGTGGGAGCAATCATCTGATCAGCACATGGAAGAGGTCGGGTCCTCCAGGCAAACACCAGAAAATGGATATGTCTTGTGTGACCTTTAGCTGAGTCTCAGGTGGTTGCTGAGACCTTCTCAGATGAGAACCAAGGGTAGGACAGGATTTTAAAATCGATGGGGCATCACCATAGGGAGGGGAGCAAAGCTCCTACAGGTCTGTAGCAGGCCAAAAGATGCAGAGCACCATTGTGAACTAATTAAGGCATCAATGATTTGTTATAAAAGCTAGGAAAGTGGTGCCTACAATTGTTGCCAGCAGAGAGCTTCACACCAGGAGGGAAAATACTCCCCTAGTCATTATTTATCCTCCGTCCTGACTGACATGATCACCTGCTCAGGTGATCATGATCCAGCCTCTGGGCTTTGTCTCCTTTTGAGATTTTTTTTCCCTTTGTTCCACCTATCAGCAGAGGAAAAGGTCTGAAACTGCAGCTGCAGTGGGTGCTGCTGCCTGGGCTGCCATGGCTCTGTGGGCAGTGGTGCTGAGTGCCCTCCTTGCCCACTGGAGCCACGTGCTGCCTCTTGCAGCTTCAAGCCAAAAACCTTGAAAGTGGCCCAGTGCTGGTGAGATGTCTGTAATCACCACTCTTAAATCTGCAAGTATTTAGTTCCTGAATTTACCCAATCAATTAATTTTCCCCCAGGACAAATGATGCATTAGCTTGGGACAAGGCTCAACCCCTCTGTCACCCTGTTAGACATTTCTAGTGCCACTTGTCTCTTCCTCGTCACCGTCCCTTCATTCACAACAATCCCCTTCTACTCTTCCTCTCCCTAGCTGCCAGAGTCAATCCATAAAAATGGATTCATACCATTTTATTTTATGTTGGTGTTATTCCTAAACTTCAAAAGGCATAATTTATTTTGCCATCTTTATGCTGTTCCCACTTATTCTTAAATTGCTTCAAAACACAGCAGATATACAGAAAGGAACTTGAATGTCTGGTGAGTGGGGTTTTTAAGTTAAAATTATAGTATTTTAATACTTCACACACAATGATCTCTTTGTAAAGTTTTCATAATGTCAGAGAAGTTCATAGAGTAAATTAGTCTGACTTCACTCAGAATCTTAACATTTATAAATCTACAGCGCTGCCTTTCTGAATATATTTATTGCTGCAGAGAGGAAGGGGGACCAAAGGGCTCTAGCACTTATTTCTGCCATCATTTCTCATCTCCAGCACAGTTTGAATTTTGTATACATAGCAGTTTCTTGCTCCAGAGATGACAGAAATTACCTGGAGACTGTTTACAGGACATTAGAATAGAATATGGACAAACCTGCAAAAGAGTAGATACTGCATGCATTAAATATTAATGGCCCACATAAGTCACAAATCCAGATTTGCTTGCAGATTTGTTGTGTGCTGTATTTTGCAGTGTGAGCAGAGAAATAAAACTAGAGTCTGTCTTTTCTGAGCACATTTCTCTCCCACATATTATTTTAGCCTTGACAATAGTAAAAGCAGAGAAATAAACTGTGCAATATTAGTGATCAAAAGCATAAAAACACAGAAGGAAAAAGACTAATTGTAAAAGATCACCAAAATAACAACAGTAATTTCTGGTTCTGGAAGGAATGAAGCCTTGAGATGTTAAATTCCCAGAACCTGGGAGGAGTATTGAGTTCTTAGCTTATCACACCTATGAAGCACCAAGCCATCCAACAATATGTCATTTTTCCCCTCAGCAAAAAGGGAATGAATTTTTAAAATTTTTCAGCAGCATGGCTCACTCTAGGATAATGCTGTTTGAAAAGCTCCACCAGACTGACTTATACAACCTCAGGAGAACTTAATGGTTTTTATAAAAAATGTTGATGTGACCCCTAGGAGTTTAACCCCACCACCCCAAGCAAAAGAAGAGAACTCACAATTTCTCAACCATTGTTTCTTGGCATGGAGTTCATACTTTTTTGTAGTATTTTGGGATGGTAGTACCCTGGAGACTACACCTGAGACATCTTATTATCCCAGTTATTTCCTGTGTGATTGAACAAACCACACCACAGCCATTTGAAGAATCACAGATGCCTTAATTCTGGGTGAGAGAGAATGAAGTTGTGCCACACCCATGGTGTCGAATTTTGGGCAATATTAAGTATATCTGTAGCTAAACAATGAATAAACAACTGCTGTGATATAGTCTGTGAATCTGGAATTATCTGGGATCATTGCAGCCATGGGGCTTGACCTTTTCTGTAGCACAGACCAAAAATATCCTTATGAGTCTCTTCTGGAGCCCAGAATATGTGAAATATAACATTCCTTCTGGAAGATAGCTGGGCTTGGCTTAAATGCTTCACATATTTGCAGTAAAAAGGACAAATCTTGCAGTGCAATTATTAATAAATGCTATTAATAATATTAGAAATCTAATGACAGGAGTGAGACCAGGACTTTTGGGTTCCTTTGTCTTACAGCAAGCTTGCCTGCAGATGTCACTCCAGACAGCTCTGTCTGATCTGTTTTTTTAAAGATTTCCAGTGCTGAAGGTTCCATAGCCTCCATAGGAATGTGGCACTTAGGACACAATGGGCCCTGGGGACAAACAAACCTTCCATTTCTTTTTTTAAAATGTCAGAAGTCAGTTTCACCTGGGAATGAGCTGGGGGAAGTTTCAGGTTGCAACTTTTTCTACAAGTGTTCTCCATTTCTATGTTTTACAGCCTTGACAGAAATGCCTTGTCCTCTTCAAATTGTCTAGTTTGCTGTAATTGAGAATTTCTTAGGAAGTGCATTCAGTGGCTGAGGACTTTTGTAGAAATCAGAACTCCTCAGTTATCTACCATGCAGATTTTTCTGCTTCCTCAAAGCCAGAGAAAGGTTTTTCCAAAGTGATCTCAAGATTTATTTGCTTTTAGCTATGGAGTAGAAATGATGCAATCACTTACCCACATATCAGCTAAACTTTTGCTACTACCAATAGCTGTAAAACAAGTTGTTATTTGCTTTCTTCTGACCTACAGCCCTGAGCCTCCAGTTTCAAGCCTTCAGTCAAAAGAGGCCACCGAGAAAGCAAATGAACAAAGTGTGGGTACTTGTGAAAATCATGTTTCAGAAAGTCACTGCGCATATATTTGGGGAGGTGGGAATTTGATTCAAGCACAGCTCCCTGCACAATCTGGCATTGTCAGGGAGCAAAAGAGATATTAGGGGTCGTCTCACACAACTGCTACATTCCTTTAGTCACAGAAGTATCCACAAATCAACAAAACCCTGGCATTTACAAGCATCCTACCACCTTCTGTAGTGCTGTCCTCGTTAGCAGAGAAGGCAGAAGTGAATTTGTTAATCCTAAAAAAATTGTGAAGGCATGACTTTGTAACTAAAATTTGCAACGTGAGGAAATCAGTGGATACACTTCTGAAACTGCAGCATAGTGGGGTTTGTTCCTTCCTCTTTTTAATTAGCTTTTATATTTTGAGGTAAATTTTGACAAGTAATTTAGTAGAGCATTGTGGTATTTTATTCATTACTGAATTATGATCCCATCAACAGTACTACATTTGTTGTTATTATTATTGTTATTTTCCTTTATCTTCATGACCACACAATGCAGCTTCTGGAAAATAAATGAATGCTGGCACTGCACCAATAGCAAAATAAATACAGATAAGTGTGACTAATATTTAAACATATTCACCTATTTTCCATGCAACACTTTAATACCATTTTCTTTACGACTTTATGTGGTAATTTTATTTCTACCCAATGATAATTTAGAACTATTTTCTACTTGAATTTTGAAACTCATCCTGAATTGTGCAACCTGAGTCTGAGATCACCTGTATTCTCACTTTACAGCTTTACTGACTCTTCTTAAAATATCAACATATTTCCAAGGAAGGAGCATGAAATAGTTATTTGTAACCTCACTTGGCACCTTTTGGAAAGGAAAGAAAGTAAAAAAAAAACCAAAAAAATGTTACTAGGAATATTGCTGTGGCTAAACAGCCATACAGAGGAGACTGAA